CGCGGGGGGCGCTCCCGGCCGGGATGAGCTCACCGCAGTCGCGCCGGGGCTGAGCGCCGAGCCGGGCGGCGGCTCCGCGGCGGGCCGGGCCGCGCGCCACCATGCTGGGCCTGGACGCGTGCGAGCTGGGGGCGCAGCTGCTGGAGCTGCTCCGGCTGGCGCTGTGCGCGCGAGGTGAGCGGCCCGGCGGGGCCGGCGGGCGGGGGAGTCGCGGCGGGGTCTCTGCCCGGCGGGCGCCGGCCCCTCCCCCGCGGCAACTTTAGGGGCGCGCGTGGCGCAGACCCCCGGCCGGCGGCTGGCGGGGTGGGGGGACTGCGTCCGGGCTCGACCCTCACGGGAAGGGAGCCAGGAGTGCAAGGGTGTGTTTGTGACACCGGGGAGGCAGTGGGACGTGTCCCCGGAGAGCCGCGGCCTGGATCCCTCTCTCCTGGGTGGGGCTGGGGCTCCTTTGGGCTTGCGGTGGCCCCTGAGCAGACCGGAGCACCGGGGCCGAGACTAGAGCGACCCCTCCCCGAGGCGGAGGAAGTGGTCGCAGAGCGTGAGCTCTGGGGTGTGGAGAGCCACCCCCGTGCTCCAGGCGCACCATGGGGAGGAGCCCCCAGGACCGTGGAAGGTGTTGGGAGAGACCCCATCCCAGAGCAGGGAGGTGGGCGACCCAGGGGAGTCCCAGGGCATTATGGGCAGAGCCCAGAACGTGGGGAGCCCTGGAACACAGGGAGGGCAGCATCTCTGCTCTTGGGAGGGCCTGGGGCCGCCACGTTATGATGGTAGCCCCCACCCCTTGGAGACGGTCTCCATTTGGGGTCTTTGTTCCCCCCACCTTTGGTCTCAGAGTCAGGGAGGGGCCCTGGATGGACAGCAGGGCCAGGAGGAGCTGGTGCCACTGCAGAGCTGGCCCGGTCTCCAGCTGCCAGGGCCCGTCCTCACGAGCCGGGCGCTGTCGGCCCACTCGCTGCTCTCTCCGGCCCGCCTCGGGCTTCTGCTCTGGTTCCTTTGGGCAGTGGGCGGTGCAGTGGCCAGGCGGGCGCGCCAATGCCAGGGTGAGCTGGTGGCTGCTGCTCACGCGCCCTCCTTGACCCATAGTCCTCCTGACCGACAAGGAGGGTGAGCGTCCACAGCCGGATGAAGTGCTGGACGAGGCCGTGCCAGAGTACCGTGCGCCGGGCAGGAAGAGCGTCCTGGAGATCCGGCAGCTGGACCCCGAGGACGAGAGCCTGGCCAAGTACAAGCGGGTGCTGCTGGGGCCCTTGCCGCCGCCTGTCATGGGTATGGGCTCGGGCCTGGGCTCCGGGGGCCGGGTTGGGGTGCGGTGGGGGCGGGGCTGCGTGGGGCATCCGGCAGACTTTCAGTGTCTCCCCAGACCCGAGCCTGCCCAACCTGCAGGTGAGGAGGCTGACGCTGATGTCTGAGCAGGCTCCAGGGCCCATCACCATGGACCTCACAGGTAACTCCCAGGACGCCTGGTGCAACCCTGAGCCCAGGTGGGGCCCTCGTAGGTGCACGTTTGTGCTTCTTACCCTGGGCCTGTCCCTGCAGACCTGGTGGGCATAGTGCCCCACGTGGGGGCTTCTGGGCCAGGGTCTCAGCTCATCCCAGGAGTTTAGACCTTAGCTGCTGTGTCCCTAACAGGGGACCTGGCTGCGCTGAAAAACCAGGTGTTTGTCCTGAAGGAGGGTGTTGATTACAAAGTGAAGATCACCTTCAAGGTGAGGGCGGCTGTGGCGGGGGCAAGGGCCGGCCAGGGGCCCAGCCCCTGGAGGACCCCTAACGCCTCTGTCCCCCAGGTCAACAGGGAGATCGTCAGCGGCCTCAGATGTCTGCACCACACTTACCGCCGCGGCCTGCGAGGTAGGGGCAGAGTGGAGGGGGACGTGGGGGCGCAGTGGAGGGACCCTGGGGGGGCAGAGGGCGGCCCCTGACACCGTGCCCTCCCCCAGTGGACAAGGCTGTCTATATGGTGGGCAGTTACGGCCCAAGCGCCCAGGAGTACGAGTTTGTGACTCCGGTGGAGGAGGCGCCGCGGGGTGCGCTGGTGCGGGGCCCCTACACCGTCACGTCCCTCTTCACTGATGACGACAGGACGGACCACCTGTCCTGGGAGTGGGGCCTACACATCTGCCAGGAGTGGAAGGACTGAACCCCCACCCCTACCCCCACATGGGGTCCTTGTTTCCCTTCCCTTTCTCCCTTGCCACACAGGGACCCCCGAGCATTCCCCAGCCCCCTCGTGAGTGACCAGACCCCTGCCCCACCCTCTGCTCTGTCCTGGGACACCCCCCCTCGGGCCTGGCACTGCCCCTGAACGGTCCCATTAAACATCGCCCTGTCTCAGTGCCCTTGGTGTTGCCTCTTTCTGCCTCCCTCTCCCGTGTGGGCTGGGGGAGCTGTGGGCCTTATCGTCCCTGTGACCGGGCCTGGGTGCCACGTGGCGGCTGCTGCTTGGCCTCCAGTCCCCTTATCTGCTCCTGCCCCGCTGGGCCCGCAGCGCCATGGACAGCCAGCTCCTGCCTGTGCTGCTGCTGCTTGGAGCCTTGGGCCCTTGGGGACAGGGACAGGGGCCTGAGGGTTCCTCAGAGGAGCTTCTGGAGGAGCCCCCTGAGGAGGTGCCCAGGGAGGATGGGATCTTGGTGCTGAGCCGCCACAACCTGGGCCTGGCCCTGCGGGAGCACCCTGCCCTGCTGGTGGAGTTCTGTGAGTGTGAGCCGGGGCTGGGGACCACGGGGACCAGTGGGCTGGACCCTGCCGTGTGCGGAGGCACGGGCACAGGAGGGGCTCCTGCAGGCACTTGCCCCTGCTGCACCCAGGGCCCTGGACGGCGCTGTGCTGGGGAGCCCCAGGGTTTAGCCGGGCCTGGGGTCTAGGCTGAGCAGGCGGTTGCGCAGGGACCCTGCTCAGCCAGCCGTGGCTGTGACGCTGACGTTGCTGCCGGCTGGCCATGTCCGTCTCCAGGTGGCTGGTGGTGGCATCTTGCAAACTGTTTCAGTAAAGGCCCAGACAGCCCAGTTATGTGTATTTGTGCTTCTGTGGTCCTTTTACAACCCTTTGCAAACAAAAACCACGTTTTCTTAGTTGGCAGGCCACGGCAGGCAGCCACATGTGGCCCGGGAGCCCCAGCCTGAGAAAGTGGCGATAGGAGGCTTCTCAGGCTCTTCACATCTTGGTGGTCCCTGTGCCCCCAGCCTTGGGGGTCTCAAGGACTCTCTGGTGCTTGGGCTTGGCTGGGCCCAAGGCTCGGGGGGCCCTGGAGGCGGCGGGTGTGTACAGAGCACACCTGCTCCCTGCTGGACCCGACTCCAAGGAGCTGCAGGGCTCTGGTCAGGCAGGGAGGAGGTGGGGCCAGGCCTGGGGCACTCACGGTTCCGTCCCCCAGACGCCCCGTGGTGTGCGCACTGCAAGGCGCTGGCCCCCAAGTACCACAAGGCGGCCACCCTGCTAGCGGCTGCATCGATCCCGGCCACGCTGGCCAAGGTGGACGGGCCTGCGGAGCCAGAGCTGGCCGAGGAGTTCGGTGTGACGGAGTACCCCACGCTCAAGTTCTTCCGTGACGGGAACCGCACACACCCAGAGGAGTACACAGGTGTGGGGGCAGGCGTGGCTTGGGTTGGGGACGGGGCCGGGCCCAGGCTGAGGGGGACTCTCCACAGGCCCCCGGGAGGCGGAGGGCATCACCGAGTGGCTCAGAAGGCGGGTGGGGCCCAGCGCTACGCGGCTGGAGGACGAGGCAGGCGTCCAGGCGCTGGTGGGTGCCCACGATGTGGTGGTCATCGGCTTCTTCCAGGTAAGCTGGCTGGCGTGGGGGCCGGGCCACGGGGCAGCGGCCACGGCACCCACCAGCCTCACAGGGCCGGGCCCCTTAGGACCTGCAGGACGAGGATGTGGCCACCTTCTTGGCCCTGGCCCAGGATGCCCTGGACATGACCTTTGGCCTCACTGACCAGCCACAGCTCTTTCAGAAGTTTGATCTCACCAATGACACCGTGGTCCTCCTCAAGAAGGTGGGTCGGGGCCGAGGTGTGTGTCGGGCTCGGGGCTGCGGCTCCCACTGACCACCCGGTGCCATCCAGTTTGACGAGGGGAGGGCGGACTTCCCCGTGGACAAGAAGCGCGGCCTGGACCTGGTGAACCTGTCCCGCTTCCTCGTCACTCACAGCATGCACCTGGTCACCGAGTTCAACAGCCAGGTGTGTCGGGCCACAGGTGCCAGGCAGGGGTTCCCAGGGGTGGGGGTGCCCTGAGTCATGCGCCCCCCTTTGCAGACATCCCTGTGATCTGGGGGTGCCCTGAGCCATGAGCCCTGCTTTGCAGACACCCTTAGATCTAGAGGTGCCCTGAGTCATGTGCCCCCCACTGCAGACACCCTTAGATCTGGGGGTGCCGAGTCATACACCCCCTTTGCAGACATCCCTACGATCTGGGGGTGCCCTGAGTCATGAGCCCTGCTTTGCAGACACCCTTAGATCTGGGGGGCCCTGAGTCATGAGGCCCCCAGTGCAGACACCCTTACTTAGATCTGGGGGTGCCCTGAGTCATGCGCCCCCCCCGCCCCCACTGCAGACACACCCCAAGATCTTCGCTGCCAGGATCCTCAACCACCTGCTGCTGTTTGTCAACCAGACGCTGGCTCCACACAGGGAGCTCCTGACAGGCTTTGGGGAGGCGGCTCCCCCGTTCCGGGGGCAGGTACTGCGGGGCCGGAAGGGGGGGCGGCGGGGCGGCAGGGGCCCCAGCCTGGACTCCCTGCCGGCAGGTGCTGTTTGTGGTGGTGGACGTGGCTGCAGACAATGACCACGTGCTGCGGTACTTCGGCCTCAAGGCCGAGGCGGCCCCCACCCTGCGCCTGGTCAACATCGAGACCGCCAAGAAGTACGCGCCGGTGGACGGGGAGCCCGTCACTGCGGCCTCTGTGGCTGCCTTCTGCCGCGCGGTCCTCACCGGGCACGTGCAGGTGGGCTGCTTCACTGCCCAGCATGGCGCAGGGGGTGGGAGCTGCTCGCAGGGCCCTAGTGACGCGCCCGGCCCGGCTCCCCCAGCCCTATCTCCTGAGCCAGGAGGTGCCCCCGGACTGGGACCGGCGGCCAGTCAAGACCCTCGTGAGCAAGAATTTCGAGCAGGTGGCTTTTGACGAAACCAAGAATGTGTTTGTCAAGTTCTGTGAGTGCCCAGGGGAGGCGGGCAGGCGGGCTGGGCGGGGGCCCGCAGGCCGTGCTCAGCGCCTGCGTCCCAGATGCCCCGTGGTGCGCCCACTGCAGGGAGATGGCCCCGGCCTGGGAGGCGCTGGCTGAGAAGTACAAGGACCACGCGGACATCGTCATTGCCGAACTGGATGCCACGGCCAACGAGCTGGAAGGCCTGGCCGTGCCCGGCTTCCCCACCCTCAAGTACTTCCCCGCAGGGCCAGGCCGGAAGGTGAGGCGAGTGGGCTGGGGCAGGAGCCAAGACCCTCCCTTCCCAGGCCTGGGGCTGGGTCCCGGACCCCGGACGCGTCCTGGGAGGGGGTGTGTCCTCCAGCCTCTCTCGTTCCTCCTCAGGTGATCGAATACAAAGGCACCAGGGACCTGGAGACCTTGTCCAAGTTCCTTGACCACGGGGGCGAGCTGCCCACGGAGCCCACGGAGGAGCCTGGAGCCCCCGTCCCGGTGGGTGCCCTTGATCCAGGGCTCCAGGCCTCTGGACACATCTCCTCCGCACGTCGGCAGGGCTGGCTGGGGCGGGGGTGCCGAGCGCAGAGCCTGAGCCGGCCTGTGACCTCTTCCAGGAGTCCCCAGCCAACTCCACCGCGGGGTCCAAGGAGGAGCTGTAGCTGCCCCCAGGAGCGGGAGCTGTGAATAAAGCGCTTTGCTCTGCTCCGTGCGCCTAGTTCCTGCGCGAGGCCTGCCCGGCTCAGCCCCGCCCCCGTGCCCTGGCTTTGGCCGCAGATCTGCCCTCTGGGCCTCTTCCATCGGGCTGGGGATTTCCTCGCTGGGGTCTGGGAGCCTCCCTGCCCCGGCCGGAGGCTCGGACGGTGTCAGCGTCGTACCACAGGAAACCCCGCGCAGCAAGCCCAGTGTGGCCGCCTGCACGGCTGGGGCTCGAGGCTGGGTCGCGGGGGCTCCCCCCGCAGCGGACAGTGCGCTCTACAACCAGGGCAGGTTCAAAAACTTTTATTTCATTATTATCCAAGTACCTTTGAAAAGATAATTGTACAAGTCATCGCGTGAAAAACGGGCACGGGCAGCCCCCTGCTGCCCTGGCCTGAGAAATGTACATATTTACACGGCCCCAGGAGGGGACCTGGGACCCGCCAACCGCGTGGCTGAGACTGAGGCCAGGCGCCGGGTCCACACAGTGGCAGGTAAGAGACACGCTGTGTCGAAGGCACTCGGTGACACGTACAATTTACAGAGGCCCCCGCGCTCGGCCGGCCCTGACCACTGGCCGCAGGCGAACCCCCGCGGGAAGTGGACCCGGTGCGTGAGCGCCAGCAGGTTGGCCCCGAGGCCGGGCTCCGAGATGGCTGTGGGCAGGGCACGGCCCCGTCCCCCGACACAGACCAGGGAGGGCGGCGCACCCGGCCCCTCCCTGCCTCTGCGTGCCACGCCCGTCGTCCCTGCGCACTGGGACCGTGTCCTCGTGGCGTGTGGCCAGGCCTGGTGGTCAGTCCACCTTCTCCACCTTGCCGATGATCTTCTCCTCAAAGACAGGCAGGACGGCCTCGTCTTCTCGAACTTCCTCGAACACGACCCCACAGTCGAACTCGTCACTCACTTTCTTGAAGTAGTATCTGTGGGTGCAGCGGCGGGGCGGTGAGCAGGGAGGCGAAGGCTGCGCACACCGCAGCCCCGGGGCCCGTGCGCTCGCTCCTCCCTGGGTGACGGTGGTGAACCTAGGTCCGCCACAAGGACCGGCTCAGCCTGCTGGGAGCCCCTGCCAGGGAGGAGCTGGCAGGTGTGAGGCTGAGCCCTGTCTCCCCCGCGGTGACAGGGACGAGCCCCCCACGCAGGGAGCCCAGGCCCTGCCCCGGCGCCACGGCCTCCGGCACTCACGGGTGTTTCACAGCCCCTTGGTGGGCAAAGCACCCGAGCTGCTGTGGCAGACGCCGCCGGGCTCTCCGGGGGCCTCTGGGGCTGAGCAGCGCAGGGCGGGCCTGGCGGGAAGGCCCTGGCCTTTGCCGTCAGGCAAGAAGGAGCTGAACCTGGACTGCGCGAGGCTGGCCCGGGGCGGCCGGCAGCAGGCCCAGCACCGGGTCTGGGCTGGTCTCCCCACCCGCAGGGCAAGGGCCCCGAGTCCTGATGCTGCCCGTGGCCCGTCGCGGCGTGGACGGGTGCCGACGCGCCCCGCGCCCCAGGGCCTCGGGCGACCCCACGACGCTCACCTGTAGCTGCCCTTCTTGGTCAGCAGCTCCTTGAACTGGCCCAGGGTGACGGCGCGGCCCCTCACCAGGGTGCGGTAGGGGATGGGCTCCCCGCAGAAGTAGTAGGCGACCACGATGCTGTCGCAGGCCTGGGCGCTCCCGCCGCCTGCCTTCCTCTGTGGCTTCGTCCTGGGGACAGACACGGGGTGGTCAGAAGGCTCGGGCCCGGGTCCCACAGGGACCGACGGGCAGGACCGGCGCTGGACCACCCCACACTCAGGAAAGCCAGGGACCCGCCGCCCGCCCACCACGCAGCATCGCAGCCTGGGGTCCAGTCCTGCGCTGGCCCCATTCATGGGGGAGCGCGGCGTCGCCCCAGCCCACCTGCGGCCCCTCGACTGCCAGGGCCTCAGCCCACCCGGTGACGCCACCATGCGGGTCCCGGATCCCCTCCCCGCCCACACCACAGTGTGCGCAGGCCGCTCGGCGCCCAACCAGGGGCTGGGGCCACCCCCACAGGTCCTCAGGACCGCAGCAGCCCCACCTCCAGGGCAGGAGAGCGGCGACGCTGTTTGTATCCTCGTGAGACCTGAAGCCCCGAAACTCAAACACTCGGAGGGCAAAGGTGGACAAACGGAGCCGTGTACGAGCTCGCGATGGACCTGCTCTCGCGGCAGAGCCCGTCTGAGGACCAGAGACGGCAGCTGGCCAGACCCGCAGAGCGCGTGGCCGGCGCTGTTTCCCACCGAGTGAGGGGGCCTCTCCCACGGCCACCTGCTGCGTGGCAGCTAAGCGCCGGGGACGACAGGCAGAGCCCTCTGTTCCAGACCCCCTCGCTCCAGAAGCTTCCAGGCCACTCAGGCCCAGCCCTCCCAGTCCCGCCAGCTGGTTGCGCCCAGAAGCCTCCAGAGCTGGGGTCAAGGCGCTATGGGCCACCTTAGCCCTGTGACCACCCACGTGGTGAACTAGGACCCAGGCACCTGCTTTCTCGGAGCCCACAGGGCGCGAGCCTGGGGGGGTCACCTAGGGCAGAGGCTCTGAGTGCATGGGGTGGGGGGTGGGAGGGCGAGGCCTGGGGGACCCCCACCATCAAGGCCATTCTTTGGGGCGAACCTCCTCGTGTCTTGAGCACGAGGGCAGGAAGGAGGCGGTCAGCCCTGTCTACACTGCCCCATGGGGTGTGGACGCGGCAGCGCCTCTCCTACCAGGCTCTGAGCAGCACATGCCCGCTGGGCACAGAGCCCAAGCCCGCAGGAGGCGCTGGGCACGCACCGTCGGACAGCCACAGTCAGCACCTCAACGCCTGCTCATGGGGACCATGGCTGTAGCCCCCGACCCCGCCCAGGACGGCCAGTCAGGGACCAGCGCGTCCCCCGGCCTGGCTGGGGGCTCAGGAAGGCAAAGGTGGCAGGAGGCAGGCCTGCCCTTGCCAGGGCCTGGCCACGATGCCTGGGTGGGTGCAGGGCCAGCCTTGCCCAGGCCTCCTCTCAGGCCTGCTGATCACCTGTCACCGCACTGGTCAGCAGCCCCTGGCGGGGACGGGCGGGAAGGCTGCTGGGCAGCTTGGAGTGCGGCGCTGTGGGGCCGCCTCCAGCCACCGCTGCTCCAAGTGTGGCGCCCAAGCTTCTGTCCCAGGACCGGCTCGGACGCCCAGGCCGAGGCGGGGGGTGCTGGAGGACCCCCGGGGCACACGTACTCTGTCTCGGAGAGCTCCATGTCCGACACGGCTGGTACCACGCTCAGCACCGGCGCGCACACAGGCCTGACGCAGGCGCGTCCCCGCTGCATGACCGCCTGCACATACCTAGGGAACAACCGCGTCAATGGGCCGCGCTGGCTGGCCACGAGCCCGAGCGGCTTCAAGCGGGCGACAGAGCGAGGGGCTGTAGGGCCCGCCCTATGGAGGCTCCAAAGCGGGGAGATGGACAAGACCCCCAACGCCAGAGGATCCACCGCAGACGGCCGAGAAACAGGAGTTACTTATTCGGTCTGGATCGCGGGGACCCCCTGAGTTCCCTGGAACACACTTTGGGACACGGCTCTGGGCGCTAGAGTCCTGCCTCGTCCACCGTGGGGTGTGGTCCACGCCGCAAAGCGCCTGCTGGGAGTCTGTCCTCGGCCTCCCCCAACACGAGCCCCCACCGACGACATGGACACTGGCTCTGGAGCGCGGTGCCAGCTCCCTCTGTACCCCGGGGAGGCCACAGACCCCGGCACACAGCTGAGCCCGTCCTGGGTTCCAGGGGCAGCAGCTCCCTCCACACAGATGCACACGCCCAGGTGCGCCGTGTCACCGTGACGACGACGACTGCAGCTCTGACCTGCCCGGCCCAGCCCCCCACCCACCCCCCGGCCTGTGCCGCCTGCAGCTGCTCAAACACGCGCACTCCCTGGACAAGTAAACCCAGCAACGCTAGGTTCTCCCCGCACTGGAGACGTGGGAGCCCCCAGCTCCCCAAAACACACGGCACAGAGCGGTGTCACGGCCCAGCGGGCGTCACCAGCCAGAGAAAAGCAATAGCATCCCGCACCCTGTCCTCCAAGAGCCCTGCCCAGGCCAGGGTCCAGGATGCTCTGATCCTGCCGCTTTGTCCACGACCTCAGCAAGCCCCGGTCGGGACCTGCGCAGGCCCCAGGGCCTTGGATCCGCCCACGTCCCCCAGTCCGGCCATGTGCCGGCCCCACGCGACGCCCCTCTCCCCATCTGCCTGCGAGCCCCAGGCTCTGTCAGGCCAGACGTGGGTGACGAGCCGGTGCGAGGGCTCCCGCCCAGAGCAGCTGAATGCAGTCACAGGCTGGGGGACATTTAGCCACGAAATGGTCACCCTTTTGGTTCTAAGTAGCTGGGACCCTTTCTGTCCCGAAGCTGGCATCAGCTCAGAGCCTGGTGCCCACCATGAACCTTCAACGACCCAGAGCAGCGCAGAGGTCTGCACCCCGACACCGGTTCAGACACGGGGCTGCCGGGCCCCAGGTGACCCAGGTGGACGAGAGGAGCCGGTCACTTCTTAGGCAACAGCAGCCTCTAGGAGCCCACGGTCCCGGACTGAGGCGAGACACAGATTCTGACAGGACTTCCCTGCACCCAGCACGTCCGGGACAGCCGCCAGCAAGGCCCAGATGCGAGGGTCAGAAAAGCCAGATCCCGCCTGGAGGGAAAGGCCACCACCGCAGAGGGGCCTCCTCGGGGCTGGGGCAGAAGCCACCCTGCCCCGGAGGCAGACGCGCCAGCTGCCGAGGCCGAGGGGGCCGTGGGCCAGGAGTCTCTCCGGGAGGAGAGTTTCGGAACCACGTGTCGTCCCGCTGCGCGCAGCCCGTCCAGGACACCGCCTCCAAGCCCAGCCCGCCCAGCAGCCAGTCGTCCGCTGCCTCCCACACGACCCTGCGTGAGCCGCAGGAACAAGTCCCCTCCTCGGGGACAATGAGCACGGCAGACCCTGCTGAGTGGGGGTGGCTGCCGTCCAGCCCTCTCTCTCCGCAGGGCCACCAGCCACGTCCCCCTCGGTGGTGCTCAGACGAAGGAAGGGCACCCCGCAGGTTGTGTCCCCCAAGGGCCCCTGTGCAGGCCTCAGGTCCTAGGGGGCTTTGGCCCCAGGAATGTCCCCCACGCCCCAGTGTGGCTGTACCTCTGCTTGGAGGGCAACCTGCTGGCTTTCTTCTCTTCCTCTTCCAGACGCCGGCGGGCCTCCTCCAGCTGGGTCAGAGGGTTGGGGGCCGGGTGGGGTGGCATCGTGGGGTCTTGGATGAAGAGGTGGGAGGGCTGCACAGAGGCGCGGAGCTGAGTGCCGGCCCAGGGGTGCACGGCCCCAGGGCGCTCAAGGGACACAGGTCGGGAGCTCTCGTGGGCCTGTGGCTTCCTCGCCCCAGAAGATCTTGGGAACAAGAGAAGAGTGTGTGGCAGCAGCTAACACCGTGGTCAACTGAGGGGTGGGACGGGGCAGGGGTGCGCGCTTGGGCCCAGCCACTGAGCCCCGTGAATGTCCTCCTTAGCACACACAATAAAAACACCTCTTTCTTGCAGACTTTTTTTCTGCTGGGACTACAGGCACGTGCCAACACGCCCAGCCAATTAAAAAAACGTTCTTTTAGAGATAGGGTCTTGCTATGTTGCCCAGGCTGGTCTTGAACTCGTGGGCACTAGGGATCCTCCTGCCTCGGCCTCCCAAAGTGCTGGGATTGTAAGTGTGAGCCACCATGCCTGGCCAGACTTCCTTTTTTATATCTTATTTGTAATAGCTTTACTGAGATACAAATAGGGTACTGGTCCCAGCTACTAAACAGGCTGAGGCAGGAGGTCGCCTGAGCCCAGGAGCTCGAGGCTGCAGTGAGGTGCGATCGCACCACCGCACTCCAGCCTGGGCAGCAGAGCAAGACCTTGTCTCTAAAACAAAAATGCAAAATTATATGGTATACGAAGACTTTTAAAAAGTATATCATTTTTATTGACCAAAAAAGTTTTTCATATTAAATAAAGTTCATTGTGAAGAACCTGAAATACACTGAAAATTGAAATAAAAATGCAAATCATCCACAATATCATAAATTTGGAACCACACGTAGCATGCTGCTGTGCCTCCGACTCGTCAGAACATGTGGCGTAACGGCCACGATTCTGGACACGTGGCTTCCCTCACCGCCCCACGTCACAGAGACCACAGCCTTCCCGTGCTGGGCGCCGGGGAGGCATCTGCACCCGCCGAGACATCCCGGCACGGACTGCAACTCGAGTGGAAACGGCAGCCTCTCCCCGCTACGGTGGGGGCCTCAGAGAGGGGGCTCAGGACCCGGAAGGCAGCCCCAGGCCAGGACAAAGACCAGGGGCCCCCGGGAGGCCTGGCGGTGGGCTCCTCCTCTGGTCCGAGCCCCACAGGCTGCCACGGGGAGAGGCCGCAGCCCCTCGGGTCAGAACAAAGGCGCAGCCAGGGCCCCAGACCTGCGCCTTGGCCCGCGCTCTGCCTCTCCAGCCACAGCCGCTCCCGTGAAAACCCACGTGAGAGGCGCCAAGAGCTGCCCCCGCCCCAGCTGGAGCTGCGCACAGGTGACACTCACAGCAGACGCTCAGCCCTGTCCCTCTGCCGTCCTTGCCAAGGAGAGCAGAGGGAGGCGGGTGCTGGCCAAGTCGGGGCAAGTGCTCTGTGGGGCCCCGGCCCCCCTGCCAGGGACAGCAGCGAGTGTGAACACATGCGGAATAAGGGACAAGACAGGCCAAGCGGGAACACCCAGAGACGGACCCATGTAGGGCTGTGAGGCTGAGGCTGGACACGGGCGCCTCTACCCTTCTGGGAGGACGGCGCGGGACTAGACCAGACCCCCAGCGGCTGGGGTGACCGGGGCGGACACAGAAGGCCTCTCCCGCGGGCTCTGTCTGGAGTGACAGGCGGTGGTTACTTCACTTCCCAGGTGGCTCAGCTCACTCTCACCTGGCGGCGCTGCAGCCGAGACCGACCTGGGAGCAGCCGCGCTGCCGGCCTCCCGCCGGTGGGCAGGGGGTGCCCGGAGCCCGCTGTTGGCAGAGAGCCCTGGCAGGGGCCGCAGGGGGGGCAGAGGGACGCTCACCCGTGGCCGGCCTTCCGGTGCCTGCTGATCTCCTTCTCGCCCTCGATGATCCACTGCACGATCTTCTGCGTCTTCTCCGCATCCTCCGAGGGCCCCGGCACGTCCACGCTGGCGCCCTTCCCCGAGTCGGCCTTCTTGGCGTTCCTTTTGGAGGGCGCACTTGCTTTCCCGCTGCGGGAGCAAGACCTGCGAGTCAGCCCCGTCCCCCACAACCTCCCACGGCTGCCGGCAGCGCCCCTTGCGCCCCCCACACCCCCGTGGAGCCCACTGGCTACCAACTGCTCCGGTGTCGTCTGGGGACAGGCTCGGCCGGCCGCTGCCCACCCTCCTGGTCTAACGCCCAGGGCTGGAGCCAGGGTCCGGCTGCAGCCTGGACCTCCGCCCCCCAGGGCAGGGCACCGGCACCAAGCTGGCTCCTCCGAGCCCAGACTCACCCCACGCCGCGCCTGGGGACCTCGCCAGGCAGAGAACACCCCACACAGGCTGGGCCACGCGTGTTGGCCGCGGCTGTGGGCTTCCCAGGAGTCTCGCAGGGAAGTTCTGGCCCCACACAAGGCCACAGCCTCATGCCTCAACCTCCCCAGCACAGGCGCAAGGGGACTGCGGCGCCAACTCTGCAGCACGCGGCACGGCCGGCGCACACTCACCCATGGCCCAGGCTGTCGCCGGCGCTGGGGGCGGCGCCTGTGCTCTCTGAGTAGCTGCGGGACTTGGCTCCGTGGCCGTAGGACTCTGGGCCCCACGTGAAGCCGCCCTGGACCCTGCGGGTGGCCTCGGCCTCGACCTGCTCCTTCGGCCGGGCCGCGCCGTGGTGGACGTGGTGGTGGACATGTCTGTGGTGGTGCAGGCCGGCCGCGTCCGGCTTCGCCCCCGACTTGGGCAGGTGCTTGCTGTGTCCAGAGGAGCCGGCCCCCAGCGCCGCTGCCTTGGCCGCGTGCCCGCTGTCAGGGGAGCGGTGGCCGGGCCCCGGCGACTGGCAGCCGGGCGTCCTGAGCACCCGCTGCACGTGCTCGTCCAGGATGCTCTCGGGGTTCTCCTCGTGCGCGTCCCGCAGCCCGGCGCAGCCCATGTCCACGTAGCGCGGCGGGAAGTGGTGCCAGGTGGGGCCGGGAGGCAGCTTGTGACTCCCCAGGGGCCCAGAAGACAGGTCGCCATCGTCACCTTCCTCCTCCTGCACGGGGACAAGGTGGCATCGTCACCTCTCAGTGCCGCCGCACGGTGAAAACCGGACACACGGGGAGAACACAAGAAACGGGACTGGCCCCGCTGCGCTCAGGGGCCCCTGCGCAGACGCCGCCGCTGCCCAGCTGGGCAGGGCCGGGACGAGGAGCCCAAACCCAGGAGCCTCCCTGTCCCCGCTGGGCCCGGGCGGCAGGCTGGGGACGTGGTTGGGGCGGGGCACAGACCCGGGACAGAGACGGGCCGCACTGGGGTGGCCGCCCTCTATGCTTCCTTCAAGTGGAGACTTCTGTTTTCCTACTTCTTAATTTTACTGCCACAAACACATTTTCAACACGATTCAGGGAGAACGCTGCCCTCACAGAGGCGCTGATGCTTGCTCATCCTGCACGTTTCCTGACAGGGCCCCACGCTGAGGTCCCGGAATTCAGCTGCTTCCCAAAGAGCTGACGCTATGGAAACAGCCTGTCCGTGCAGACGGGACCACTCCGACTCCAAAGTCACGGCTCACGTTTTTTTCTCCCCCGACCGCACCGTGCTGAGTGGCCCTGGCACTGCGGACCAAGGGAGGGAGCTGGGTGACCCCTGTACCTTCACAGGGACTTCCACGGGTTTGCCGCCAGTTTCTCACACGTGTGCTGGTGATGGGCGTGCCCACGCCGGCGTGCCAGCCGTGGATGCCTCAAACAGCACCACGTTTCACAATGCAAATAAGTTATTTTAAAAATTTGAGTTATCCCTTTAAAAAAAGGACTATTATCTATAGCACAATGCATTAGAAAATCATGCACTGGCCGGGCGCGGTGGCTCACGCCTGTAATCCCAGCACTCTGGGAGGCCGAGGCGGGTGGATTGTTCGAGCTCAGGAGTTCCAGACCAGCCTGAGCAAGAGCGAGACCCCGTCTCTACCAAAAATAGAAAGAAATTAATTGGACAGCTAAAAATACATATAGGAAAAATTAGCCGGGCATGGTGGCGCGTGCCTGTAGTCCCAGCTACTCGGGAGGCTGAGGCAGCAGGATTGCTTGAGCCCAGCAATATGAGGTTGCTGTGAGCTAGGATGACGCCACGGCACTCACTCTAGCCCGGGCAACAGAGTGAGACTTTGTCTCAAAAAAAAAAAAAAAAAGTTAACTGTGGCATCCCCAGGGCCACCGTCACATGAACAGCGATGTCACCATGGGGGGCTCTGCCACTGGAAGGGCGGTGTGGACTCTGTCACAACACACAGCCCGGGATGTGGGGCCCGTTAGGGTTAGTATCGTCAGTACTTCAGCAACTCCACTCCCAACGCGTGGATTTCAGACAAGGCCCTTAGAGGCTCAAGCCGTGCTCCTACTTGTACTCCCTTAACCGCCTGACGCGGCTGCCATACACCCAGCGTCTCGGTGCCGCAGACGGCCTGGCTACAGCCGGCTCCTGGGGCCACCAAGGGCCACCGGGTGCCCTGGGCAGCGAGGCAGCCACCCCAGTGAGTGGCAGGTCTCTAAGACGAGGTCTTACTCCCGCCAGCAGCAGGACCACGTGGCGGGTGACACTGCTTCATGCAGATGGACGGTGGCCCTCGCAAGTGGCCCTGGCCGGGGTCCTGAGCCTCAGGGACTAATCGAGTCCCTTCCTCAGGGGACGGGGGACAGGGTGGACGGGTTGGCAAGGGCAACACTGCCCACCTGTGGCTCCGGAGGGCGAGGGCCGCCCCAGGCCCAGCGCCAGGAGGGAAACGAGAGGACGCTGCTGGTCAGGGGGTAAAACGGTTTACCGAGGATGAAAAGTTTGTGCGTGTCTGTGTGTGTGGTGTGTGTGTGCGCGCGCGCGTGTAACGTCTTCACGCGAACCCCTGCCTGGAGAGCTGCCTGGCTACTCATCTCGTTCTCAAAGTCCGCAGTGATCAAACCTGGTTCCCACCACGAGACCCAGCTTCCGATGGGCCACATGGGATCCGCCCCCCTCCCCGTCCCGGGGCCAGGCCCGTGGCGTCCACGCTGGGAGCCCAGGGGCAGCCCACGCCCACCCTCGCGGCCACGGCTCACCTGGGAGCGTGTACAGGGAAAGAGCAGCCCCACCTGGGGGCTCTCGGGGGCTGAGCAGGGCTGAGGCTCTGCGTCTTAGATAAGGGATCCGATCAAGACACGGTTCCTTGGAAAGACGCCACGTCTTAAACTCCAGGTGTGGAAACTCACATAAACCAAGTATTTCTATGCTACAACTATTTATATTCACAAAATACTGAAACGAGACCGGAGGACCGCCACGCAGTAGTGACCACGTGCCGCCAGAGGGAGCCACACCTGCTAAGAGAAACGCAAAGGCCTTTCTACAGGCGACACGAGAAGCCCACGGCATCTGGAGGGCTGTGTTCAGTGGTCTCCATGCACCACGTTAAACACGGAAGGACACAGAGCCTGCCACGTCCGTGGTCAGTGTCTCAAGCACTGCGGCCCCTGCACGCGTGTGGAAAGGACTCGCAAGGCTCACCCAGCTCCCTGGCTGTGCAGGGTGACAGCCTGCAGTGGCCGCAGGAGTGCACGGCAGGTGACGGAGTCTGTCCCATCCCCTCAAACGCAGGCCCAGGGGGCGGGGGGACCCGGACGGGCGCAGGGGCTCTCGGACGCAGGCCCTGGCCTGGCGGCCTGCACGGAAACACCGTGAGCAGACGGGCCCGGCGCAGCCCACTCACCATCCGCACGCGCCTCAGCCGCTCCTCCAGCTTCTCCTCGGCCTCCCGCGTGCGCTGCACAGCCTCCAGCCGGTGGATGAGCTCCTCCGCGAACTTCTGCGGCTCCACGCGGATCTCCTTGGGCACGCGGCAGGTGCGCTGCAGGGGACACGGCGTGAGGCGGTGCCTGTCCACAGCCCGACCTCCACCCCCGCCAGGGGCACACCGGTTCCAGGTCCCTTGCAGACACTTTTTGGGAGAGGAAACAGCGTATAGAACCCAGTTTATTTTAAAGCAAGTCTTCACTCTCCCCGTTTCCGGCGGGAATCGGCATCCTCACCGCCCCGGCTCTCGGCAGCCACGTCTCCCCCTCGCTGCAACCGTAGCGGGGCCGTGGGAGCCGGGCAGGGCAGGCTCAGCACACTCGGGCTCCCAGGTGCCTCCAGCCAGGCCGCGGCGTCTGGGCACAGGAGCCTGCCGGGCTCATGGCCGCACTGCGCCAGCACCGAGCGTGTGCGCAGCGGGAAGAAATGTGGGGGAGGCGGGACTCTGGAGGACTTTTCGTTTCAAAATGGCGTAAGTTTGCAAAGTATTTGTATTACAGTGACACCCTGACCTGCGGGGTCCTTATTTTAAAATAATTCCAAACTTCAGATCAGTTGCAAGCAGAGAGCGAGGAACGCGGTTCACCTTCACCCGACTCCCCGACACTCACACCCTGCCACGTCCGCCTCCTGATCCTCCCACTGGCGGGCACAGGCGCCCACACGCACACACACAGGAACAGGCCCGTGCACACACGCACGCACACGCATACCTTTCTGAACCGGTCAGAGTGGATGTAACGAACGCCAGGCGTCCTCACACCTAAGCGCAGGTTACGGACGGCAAAACCTGACCCAACACGACCCCGCCGTCTAGTCCCCACCCCCACTCCAGCCCCTCCTGCTGCCGACGACGACGTCCTTCCTGACGAAACGTGTCGTGAAGCCCCAGCCGTCGAGGTCTGGCTGGGGAGGGCCTGGCAGGGGCCGTCCCCTCGTGACCAGGGACAGGGTGGGGGGCAGGGCGGGGGCTCCCCGTGGGCTCTGGCGTGGACCTGCCTCTGGGCTCCTGTTTCTCACCCACAAAACGACAACAAAACACGCCTGCCTCGGAGACACGGCGTGAGGTCAGACAGGAGAGTCGCATCAACGGCGCCCAGCGAGCTCAGAGAATGCCGCGTGGCGGGTGGGCTCGCGCGGAGGCTGGGCGTGGAGCCACGCGCAGAGGTGGCCACAGAAACTGAGAGGGGCTTCACTCTGAGGGACTCCGGGTGCGAGGGGAGCGCAGGCGGGCCCAGGACGCTGGCAGACGCAGGGGCTGGGGAGTCGGTGCAGGAGGCCGCACCTCAGAAGGGGCGGCTGGGCGCCAGCGCTTCTGGAAGGTCCCGAGGGGCCGGTGTGGTCTGGAGGGGTGGGGACACCAGGGTGCCCAGGCGGACGCAGAGGCCCAACACGGGCCCTTCCTGCTGAGCCCGTGCGGCGCCAGCCCGAGGCCTCGCGTGGAGGGGCTGGGGCTGGGCTGCCTGTGTGCGCACAGCGGCAGTGACGAGTGCAGAGACGCCAGGGGCCCTGTGGCTGCGTCACCAAGATTCTGAGGACGGCAGACCCATCGGAACCATCAGACTTACGGAAGAAGGGCAGCCTTTCCAGCTTTGGAGGAACAGGATAAAATCATAAAGGAAAAAGCAGGTCAACGAAAATGTGGAACTTTGGAGGAACTGAAAAGGAGAGTGTGGCGCCCGTGGTCCCAGCTGCTGGGGAGGCCGAGGCGGGAGGACGCTGGAGCCCAGAGCTGGAGGCTGCCACGAGCTGTGACGAGGCCGCCGAGCTCCAGCCTGGCGACAGCGAGACTCTCTCAAAAAACGAAGGACGTGGGGTCTGCCCTGCGCGCCCACTGCCTCCCTCGGCTTTGCCTTCACACTGAGTCAGCCGTGACGTTCCAGACCTCGAGGACTGCGCTTTCGATTCTAGAACATTCTCAGGGTGCCCCTGGACTCCGGTCGTCGCCCTGCTCCCCTCGCCGAGGGCACCCTGGGGACTCCACCGTCAGACTGCCGACTGCGCTTTGCGCTCTGACGCTCTGTTTAACTTACCCATCGAATTACGGTGTTTTTGTTTTCAGACAATCTCAAACTTACAGGAAAGTTGCAAGAAAAACACAAAGTCTTCCCTGAACTTTCTGAGAGTGAGCTGCCTGCCGCTGTCCATGCGCGAGTCGCCGGCAGGCGCTTCCTGCGCACGGACTTTCTGACACAGGCGCCCCCAGAACCAGGGAGCCGTGTGGACGGAGCCTCCCGCGGACGCTCAGCCTGCGGGCTCTCAGCTCGGACCAGCCACTGCCGCACGCCAGGACTCCACAGACAGCGGCAGGTGGGCCCCAGACCCACCGTGGCACTCGCACACACGCACGGACGCACATGCGTGTACCGGCACACACACACGCCTACAGGACCGTCCACTTTCTGATAAGCAGACACTGTCAGCGTCTGTTTCAGGCCACTCTGTGCCAAGGGCCGGCAAGAGACGACAAAATGCTGGAACGGCCTCTCCTCACAAGTAAGGACCAGCATCCTTGCTTCTCGGCCATGAGCCATCACGTTCCTGATCTGGAAATTAGAGTCTGCGGAAAAGCTAGGAGACTGCGAAACCCCGGCTAGGGGTGTGGGTGCTTCCTGCGCAGGAGCGATGAGCGCCCTCCACGCCTTGCCCGCAGACGCTGCGGACACCCGGGGTTGAAGACGCCGCGTAAGCTGTCCTTGTCTCCCTCAAGGTCTCCCCTGCTTACAGTCGACAGGTCACAGTAAGCAACACTAAGGACTCCCTCCTGGACAGACCACTCTGCAGAGGGACAGCCCGCACCGGCTCTGCCCCGCGCCTGGCTCCATGACCTGCAGCCCAGCAAAGCCCCCAGGGCGCGTGCTTGGGAGAAGCCACCGCGACTTTATCTACAAGGCAAAACCAGGAAGCTGTCGCTATTCGGCCACAAAACAGCCGATGCCTCAAGCTTCCCTTGACCTAAGCGGCGCTCAGGGAACGCGGCGCTGGGGAGCAGAGACACCGCCAGGCTTCCTGCCAGAGCCATGGGGTGGGGCAGCCATGCGGGGGCCGGGCCGGGCCTGGGCTCCAGGCTGGTGGTAGACGCTCAGAGCTAGTCCCGCTTCACGACGCGAGAAAGACCACGTGGCAGGCCTGCGCAGAGGGCGCTTCCAGCCACCCACGGAGGCGCCGGCCGCTCTGCCCCCCAGGGCCCCTCCAAACTGACCGTGGCTGCTGGGACTCAAACGTCACCTGCGACTCTGCCCCCTGCAGCCCGTGGGGCGCGAGCGTGTGCACGCAGCACCTGGACCTCACGCTCACGCCGGGAGGTGAGCCGAGCTCGAGGGACACAGCCAGCGGCTTTCCCACCGGCCAGGGCCACCGCGCCCAGCTCCAAGGGCAAGCCAGACGGCACGCGGGGCTGGGGGGGCGCCGGTGCTTACCGGGATGTGAGGGAGAGGCACCCGGCCGTTGACCTGCACGCTCTCCTGCATCTCCCTGCGGTGCTGCTTGCGGATCCGGTACGGCGGGATCCCGTCCCTGTCCGGGAGAAAGAGGAGCCGTTAACTCGGAGAGGAGAACCACCCTCCGCACGGCACCGGGCCCCGACCGCCGCTAGCAGGCGGCAATGCAGGGCCCACGCTACCACCAGCACCGATACACGTGCGCAGTCACACGCGTGCACACACACACAGGGCAGCGTTGCACGCTGTGTGCGGGTGAACACAAGCACATCCTATGCATCCGCGCGCGGCACGGATGTGCAGGACACCAAAGCCCAGGAGCTCGACTGTGCTCTCCCAGCTGGTATTCACTGAGCACCTGGACACCAGTAGGGCCCGCCTGTCTCTCAAGGCCGACAGCTAAGAACAGTTTTCTCGTGTTCTCAGGGCGGGAGCATGGCAGCAGCTGGATGTGGCTGCACGGCCTCACGCTGGCCCTTCGTGGGAAACGTCTGCTGACCCTGCTGTACGGCCCGGGCCAGCGGCTCGGGGTGACGTTTGGGGCTGCAGCACGGGCGCCCACGTCCCACGGCTCGGCGTTCCCCAGGAGAACCCTCGGCGGCGTGATCTCTGAGGGGTGCGCGAGCTCGTTTGCTCGAACAGCAGAATTTCATCTTGACCTCTTCAGGAGATCGTTAAAAACACATAAAATCAAACTGTACATGCCTTTAAATAATTACGTACCCCAGGGTTAAGACAGCTAAACGCACGCCTGTCACTTATTCACAACAGACACAGACTTAACACACGATTCACCGCACAGGCGCAATCCTGGCCGCTCTCCAGCTCTTCCCCCTGCCGTGAGAGCTGCTCCGGGACACGCGGCAGTGCCAGGAAACTGTGCGCGGTGAAGGTGCCCCCGGGGCTGCCAGGAGACAGGATGACCAGAGACGCTGGGCCAGGGCCACCTGGCGGCACCGTGCTCCAGGTGTCCTGAGCTGTCAGAGCACCTCGGGGCAGTGCGGGGCGGACCTGCAGTTGGGGTCGGCGACGTGGCGGCACGTGGACAGGACGCGGCGTGAAACAAGCGACTCTGAGACTCCGAACACCTTCGACGTGCCCGCAGGGTCTGTTCAGGTGTCCTGAAGCCACCAACACATTTGTTTCTTGGATTTGTTACTTAGATTGGGTACTTTATTTATTTTATTGTATTTATTTATTCTTTTGAGACTGGGTCTCACTCTGTTGCCCCAGGTAGACTGCTGTGGCGTCGTCACAGCTCACAGCAACCTCCAACTCCTGGGCTCCAGAAATCCTCCCGCCTCGGCCTCCCAGAGGGCTAGGATTACAGGCGTGACCACCGCGCCGGCCGGACTGGTACTTGAAAATTCTGCGCGCCTCTATGGATCGGGCACCATCCTCGACACTTGTGGCTGGTGGGTGTGAGCCCAGCGGGAAAGGCTGAGCATCGCTGCCCCCGCAGAAACGACGCACCAGTCCACTTTCTGCCTCTGACAGGTACTCAGATATCGGCAGCGATTTTACATTCCAAATTGTGAAATGCTTCAGTGCAAACCAAGACGAACAGAACATCAAGGGAAAACAAATACATGTATTTATTTTAGGTCCTCCCTTTAGGAAACATATGTTCTTTTCTTAGAAAGAATAAGAGGCTTTTTGAGGAAACTGCGTTGGCAGATTAATTTTCATTGTAGTAACAACCTTGGAAAAGAGGCAGCCAGACCCTGGCAGGCTGCAGCCACCCCAGCTGTGCTCTCTGCGCGCAGAGCAGGCCCTGCATGGACTCCAGCAGCTCCGAGCGAGATGTCGCTAAAAACGTGTCAACGCTTTATCCTGAAGACTCGAAATCACAGGAGAATGATATAAACAAGAAATGCCACACACAGAACCACAACCCAGAGGGACAGGGAGCCCGGCGTCACCACCACGCGGGGTCGCTGCGGAAAGGCCAGAGAGCCCAGCGTGTGACGGCGCAGGGCTGGCCAACTTCGGCTCAGAAATGGCAGGTGATAACCTGCTCTGTTTATCTAAAATCCGGCTGGTGGAAGAAGATTTACAGACAGAAAAACGAGAACAAACCATAAAAATAGTAAAGTTAAAGACAGCCACAAAAACATGGACGGGACCTGCCCCTGGGCCAGAAGCCTTTCGTCTCCTTCCTATGCAAACCGCCCCGATTCTCCAAACCTCTCAGTAAAGAAACGAGCTGGGGCCGGGAAGCAGGGTCAGGACCCGCCGACGGCGCCGAGCACGGCGGGGTGGGGGGCACCTGTGGGTGGCGGTGAGGGGCTCCCGCACTCGCGACTCGCGGCCTCAGGCTTTCCCCGGTGCCCTGACGCTGCTGGAGGGAGACCCTGGGGTGCCAGGCTCGGCCCCCAGCCCGGCCGTTGCTGGTCGGGTGTCAAAGGCGCAGAGACTGCGGGCGAGGCAGGCCTGAGACTCACGGAAGCCTGAGTCCGACGACGGCACCAGACAGTGCCGGATGCAGCCGGGTGTGTTCACACCGCCAGATGCCTGCTGTGCGCCTGGCGCCCAAGCCCCCGCTAACGCGCAGGAGAGGAGGCCCCAGAACAACCACCTTTCCACCAAGGGGGCTTTCCCTGGCAGCGTGACAACAGGAGAATAAGCCCCCAGCTGTCACACGAGGCAGGGGACGAGGACACTGCAGGGCACAGAGGCTGGGACGCAGCTACGGCACGTGCCCGGGTCGCTAAAGCGTCGAGACCGGGCCGTCCCGGGGCCACCGAGGCGCTGGGCTTAGCACGGAACAGCCTCGCAGACTACGGTCTCCCTGCTGCCCGGGCCCCACACCAAGCAGACGGCGGCAGGCTCACCGGACAGGACGGGCCCTGCGCCCAGCGTGCTGACGGGACGTAGCTGCAGCCGCCTTTCAGGGCCGTGTCTCTCACCACAGCCGCCAGCAAGGCAGCTGGCCTGTGCCTGCCTTTCAACTGAACCCTGGACTACGAAACCCAGAGCGGAAAAGGCCCAGCGCTCCGGCTCGGGCAGCCCGGAGCGTCTCTCAACTGCACCCGGACTCTCCCTTCCCGGGTCCCAGCAGCCTCCACCACGGAGAGCAGCAGCGGCGAGACTGTCAGGGCATTTCCTCGGTACAGCCTGCGTCTCAGACGGGGGTGGGGGACCAGGAAACTTCTGTGACGACCACGCGCGGCAGCGCCGGGGCCGGCCTGAGACCCGCACGCCCAGCGCAGACCTCCCCGGCACGGGCGGACTTACACGCTGCTGTCGGTGAGGGAGAGGGTGTCCGCGTCGCTGGACAGGCTCTGCTGCTCGCTGTCATTGGCGCTGGTGGCGGGGGCCAGGGCGTAGCCGGCGTTGACGTAGTAGGGGTTGACCGGTTCCCGCCAGGATCCATACCTGCAAAGAGGCAGCGTGTTAGCGGCAGCCGGCCAACAGTCTCTTGCTTTCATCGACAGTTTCAGGGTTATCTTAATATCCCAACGTGCGAATTTAAAACGCAAGCAATCAGGAACGAAGACGGAGCAGGAAGGGCCAGCGTCTCCATCTCCCCCCGCGGCCCTGCCCAGCGGGCGGGTTAAAGCCTGGGCATCTTCCAGCCCTTTCCTCCTCTTTCAGGTGGGCACTTTCGTGCACACACGCAGGTTACCAAGTGGATTTGTTTCTCACTTGTGTTTCCAGCAGCTGCGTGTAACCAGAAACAGGGCACCGCCGCTCTGCTCTTTCTTCCACGGAACCTGCCCACAATGGTCCTCACCCCTGCCACAGCTGTGCGGGGGACCTGGCCTCCCAGCGCCCTCAGGACGTTCCCAGCAAACACTGGGCCCAGGCAGGGCAACAGGACACCAGCCCCGGCCCGTGCGCCCTGCTAACAGCCCGTGCGCAAGTCTGAGAACGGCCACAGGACGACCGGGGGCTTGGCGGAGAGTTCCCTGGGCCGGCGTTGCCTCCTGCCCCCCACCTACCACGAACAGGCTCGCCCCACCCTCCCTGGGGGGCTCACCTCCACCTGCTACCACGAGACTGGCCAGAAAATGACAGGTCGCTCAAGCTGCAACCTGAGCCACCGTCAGGGCGGCAGCTGGGTTTCCCCCTCTTCCTCTGTCTGCACCTGATCACGCCACGTCCGTTCTCTACGAGTGGCTCTAATCTCTGGTCACATATGCAAAAAATATGTTCTCCCTAAATGTCATTTTCTTTTTAATTTTGTTCGTGTTGATTTTGGTGCTACGAGAGGTTTTCATTTCTATGACATCGGACTTACCAATCTTTTCCTTTATAGCTCTAGTATCTTGCAAAGACAGGCCTTGCTCATCCCAACATCACGAATATATTCTTCTGTTTTTCCGTACGTGCTCCAGTGTTTCTTTTAAACGCAGAGCTCTGTCTGAAATGTGTGTGTACAAATCTAACTCCCCGCCTTGCACCACAATGGACAGGCAGCTGCCAGCACCGAATACCGAGTCACCCATCTCGTCCTCAGTAACTTTAAGTCCGGCTCTACGTCCTGCCTCGCGGCCCTCACACACGCGTGTTTCTGGAGTCCACGTGTCCTGTGTGGGCCCCCTAACGGCTGCACCGCCACAGGACGCTCTGTCTCTCCATTCTAAAGACTCTGACCACACAGCGGTCGCCACGGTCCACTGCCCTGGCTTCGGTTACTTGCAGTGGACCGAGGTCTGAAAGTAAGTTTCTGCCGGACAGTGAGATGTTGAGAGAGACAGAGGGAGGTATCCCATTCACCCCTTCCACGTAATTTTCGTTGCAGAACATTGTTATAATTGTTCTACTCGGCTCTTAGTTACTGTTAATCTCTCACTGTATCTAATTTATAAATTAAACCTCGACGCAGGCGTGAAGTATAGGAAAAAACACAGCACGTGCAGGGTTTGGTACGACCTGGGGTTTCAGGCACCCAGCGGGGGTCTTGGGTCACATCCCCTGCTGATGGGGGGATGACCGTATTCACCAGATCCCCACAGGTCACGGTGAAAAGGCAAAAGGCTGCCGTGCCCGTGTGACAGAACCGCGTCCGGGCTCAGCTGTCCAAGCGCAGGTCTCGGCCGCCCGGCCTCGCCGCAGAGCTCGGAGGTGCGCACCGCTCGGTGGGCCACGGCCTGTCCAACTGCCGGGCACCTCGCGCGTCAGCGTTCTCAGCGGGAGCCAGGGGGACCCAGACGGTCGCTCAGGCAGCAGGATTCCTATGGACAGACGCCCACCCACCCGAAGAACAGACCTTCTGGAAAGCCCCGCTTGCACTCGCTCCCATGCGCTCTGGACAAGGCCCACCGACAAGCTGGTGGGACCAGACATCTCGGGGTCCCACGCCCTCGCCACACAGCGTGTGGGGGTCGTGAGCTGGGCCAGGCGGAAGAGGCCTTCCTGGGCAGCCTGCGGCGCCGGCGGGTGGGGCCTTGCAGGAGTGGGCCACGTCCGAGGGCCCTGGGCCGTCCAGCGCTCTGGCGGGCACAGACGCAAGTGCAGGGCCTCTCACCAGAGCAGTGCGGTCACCACGCTCCTGTCCCAGCCGTGGACGGACGCCGAGGCCACACATCGGCTGGCTGCACGGCCCACACCACAGGGCATGTGCTCAGCGAGGCCACGGCCCCGCCAACGCCACGCAGCCGGCGAAGCTTTCCGACCCACCCGCCACAGCCCGAGCTTGCTCCGGGGGCCGCCGACACACCACGGCCAAACGAGGGCTCTTGGGGACCAGGTCCTCAGCGGTTGGGCCCTGAGTTTGGTTTATGTGTCCTCTCCTGCGCATATCTGACACGGAGCAGGCAAGATTATGCCAGGCTGCAACCTCACGTTCTTTGCTTCAAGTATCACGAAATATTGTCAACTGACACTCACTCCGCTGGTACTTCAGAACAGAGCTACAGCTTCTTACCAGCTACCAACACCGTCACTGTGACGGCCACCGTAGTAAAACTCAGATCGTGGCTTAAGTGCTAGCTCACTTGGTCAGACAAAACCCTTTCGGATGAGAGAGAGGCCACCACGGCGTGGGCAGGTCTGTGCCCCACACACGTCGCCTTCCTCGTTGGTGACGCCTGTCCTGCCACGCGAGGGCCGCGTCTGGCGGGACCGAGCCTTTCTTGCCAACACGTCCAACCCACCTCTCCTTCCCACTCGGGTACCCAGGAGTGCCTTTCGCCTGTCTGGAGGACCTGCCTTTAAAATGATGAGTGGGAAAAATGCAGATTTTCAATTTTCTACAAACTTGAGCATTGAGCAAATTCTACCACACAAGCCCAGGCCAAATGGTGAGAAGGAAAAAAACAGCTGAGAGGAACGAGAAGCAGCGTGGAAGAGCTACCAGTTATCTATTTATCTTCTGGAAAATCCAGGCACCGGCTCTCGGGACGGAAGCCTCTGAAAACACAGACGCGCACACTGATGTGGGTGACCAAGAACATTCTGGCCAACGCCACGTGAGAGGGCCACGCATGAAACCCCAGGACCTCCCCGAAAGACAGCTGGATCCAACAGCGGGAGGAGCATGCGCTCGTGTGCGTGTGCACAGGCGTGCATGGCTGTATGTGTGCACACCTGTGTGTCCGAGCACGCGTGTACACGCCTGCACAGACATGTGCCCACCGAAACACGGCACACCTCCCAGGCCTCACTTAATTCGACTTCCAACGTTTCTGCAGCCTGTGCCCTAACACTGCATCTGTAATTCTCTTGCTCCATGAAATCCCAAGCCTGCCTGTGAGACGCTGGCCCCTGTACACCGACCTCTGGCTCCCGCTGTGCTCACGTGCGGGCCGTGGGTCCAAGAAGCAGGCCAGCGGCTGTGCGTCGCACGGTGCGGGAGGCACCTTTGCTCCCGAGTCGAGGACGTGGCCAGGCTACAGATGTGAGGCTACGGTGCGAACGTACGTGGGCTCATTCCCCTATCTCCACGCGAGGCACAGAAGACGGAGCTTACTCGGGGGCGCCCGAGGAAGGCAGGCACCCACCCACGGGGCTCAGCAGGCCCCAACCCAGTGCCCTCGGCCAGACAACACCTGCCAGACCCATCAGCAGACGGCCGCCTGCTGCCTCGGCAGGTCCCTGTGGAGCGGGCCACGCCCTGGCCCAGCACCAGGCCACACTCCACCTGGGCCCAGGTGCTGGGGTTGTTCCGACCTCTGCGTCCTGGCGTCTTGGCCCTACTGCCCTGCCAGGGCCACCCTGCTGGGCTTGGCTGGATCCTACCTCCAGGGAAGGTTCACTCCTGTTTCCAGACTTATCACCCCTTGACCCGACATCAGCACCTGGCTAGCGCACACCTGCGTGAGGAGTCAGGGCTGCCCGGCCTCCTCGGAGGCTCACAGGCAAGTGTCGGGCAGGTTGGGCCGGCCCCGGCAGGGTCTGCAGAGAGCCGCTGAGGCAGGAGGCCTGTCACCACCACTGGACCCGCAATCCGAGAGGATCAGGAAGTCCACTCCCACGGGAGCGTCTCCTCCAGACCTGCTGAGACAGCACGTGCCTGTCCATGTGTGCACGTGGCCCATGGGCCACTACAGTAGCACTTCCTATGTGCCCATCCACGCGTGCACGTGGCCCATGGGCCACTACAGTGGCACTTCCTACATGCCTGTCCACACATGCACGTGGCCCGTGGGCCAGTACAGTGGCACTTCCTATGTGCCCATCCACGCATGCACTGGCCCGTGGGCCAGTACAGTGGCACTTCCTATGTG